TGCGACCTCGAGGCGGTATGAAGGGGTCGTTCTCCTTGCTCAAATTGTCTGCAGAGTGCAAAGGAAATATTATTGGGCTTAAACTAATAAGCACCATATATCTAAAGTAACCTGAACTTAATAATCATATTTAAATATTGAATATTGAAGATATTAAGGGTACTATTGGAATATGTTTAAGACTAATAAGAACCTTACATATAAATTGTCCTAAATGTAAAAACCATTATTAAATATTATTTTTTAGACAAGGAAAGTCTTGAAATAATATCAAATTAAAGATATTTAGGAGGGAAATTGGAATAGGTTAAAAAGTAATAATTAATAGTTAAAGGTATGTAGGGTAACATTTTTTTAGAAGATTAATCTCAATGGAAAACAGATTTCCAAGAGATACTAACTAGAATCGTTCCACTCACCTCCAAGTTGATAGCCATCGAAGAGCTTCTCCCTCCTCACCAGCACATATTGAGGCTCGTCCACAATGAGCGGGGGTTCCAGATGACCTGACAGGTTCAGCTTCTTCCAGAGGAACATCCCAGGATGGTAGGTCTCGGCAGCCCCATCACTCAGATTGCCCAGGGGACGTTGAAGGGGATAGAGCAGCTGCATGGCCCAGTGCAGGAACTTGATGAGATCCTGCTCGCCAGTGAGTAGCATGAACACCTCATTGTTGCCCTGCTCCTCGTCGTCGTCCACATCCTCCTCGGAATCCGAGGAGTTCACCTCGGAGTCGGAATCCTGCATCGAACTCAGCTGCAAGTGGAGGCGGGCCAGGGCCTCTTTGTTCCTGATGAGGGGGTTGTACATAAAGGTTTACGGTTTCTATAGTCTGATTAATGCCCCATCATTTGTTCGCTTTAAGGAGCAGCGCATTTTCACATTTTTCTTTTTGGTCATGAGCGTGGGCTGCGGCCATGGGTTTCAATTACCCTTCTTGGCCAGAGTTTCTCTTTTCAAAAAAACACAACAGACGACACCAAATTGATGAACTTCTTTTTCCCACTCACACATGTGACCCAGAAACGCCCAAACTCTTCGCTTATCCAAAGGCTGTCAGGGCTGATCCAATTCAATCATAAGTCAATTTGAGGCAATTCAACCGAAATTACTGTGTAAAATTACAAATTAGGCGAACAGCAACAATCGAAAGTTATGCGGGCCCGTGGTTAATTAATCAAACATTTAACAAATCAACATAGCCAAACACAAGCGAACAGAAAATAATAATCATAGGGCCCCAGCCCTGAGATGATTAATTCGATTTTAATAGCAGCGCCCAATAATTTTTCAACACAAGATAATATTCCGCGTAAATTACAAGGCGCAGAGAAAAAAGAAATGTTTTAAATAAAACAAAAGCTGAGCAAAAGAAAAATATTTCTCACTCGCCGGAATGAAAAGTGAAACTCGTAATGCAGTTTTCGTTTCGATTTCGTTTCGGGGCAATGAATTTGCTGACAGTTGTTATTTTATAAAATAAATCAACATACGGTGCGGCGGTCTCCAGGCTCTGACTTGAAACAAAACTGCAATCGTCGGTACTGATTTTTCACGCCCATTAATTGGTTTTGCGTGTTCCGAGTCGACAGCCAAATTGTCGACGATTTGTTGCCGCTCTTGTGGGTTAACGTTAACCATTTTTTCGGCAGAGCCTGGCGCCCTGGAAAGGGTTAGCATTAACCCTCTAAAAGCCAAGGGTTCGGGTTTAAGGAAAAAAACGTAAATGGAAAGGAGATAAAATGAGAAACAGGCTCCAAAAAACTGCTGATGTTGTAATAAAAACCTATCAAACTAATTTTTTTATGCGAAGAATTAGCGTTCCTAATACATAAAATATATTTTTGTTCCTATCTAACTACATTTTCAAGCACTTGAGAAAATAATAGGAATTAGTAATTTAGCCACTTGTAATTTATGTATAAAAATCTATCTTTATAATTTGAAGATTTAACACAGATCCCAAAGTACTTAAGCTACTGTCTCCAATTTTTTCCTCAGTATTCTAGCTTTAGTAAACATATTTGCTGAGCAATGATATTGCAATTAGAAAATTATAAAAGGGAATATGAAGTAAGACGCCAGACCTCTTCGCTTTCCTGGACTCAATGGGTTAAACCGGTACTTTAGCTGCCAAATTGGTTTACATGTGAGGCGGAAGCGAGGAGCTCAACTTTCTCGACTTTCCTTCTGTGCAGCCTTGAACCTGCTGGCCAATCTCAGACCGCCACTTTGCCACCCACATCCTGGACTTCTTACCTGGCCGCCAGCATGGTGCGATAGTACTCCTGAGGACACTTGGTGGATGCACCGGCTCGTCCCTGGCAACGGTTGCCCCAATACCGGTGAGGGGGCGTGGCCCGATAGTGGTTGGGTCCCAGTCCGAGTCCCAGTCCCATTCTCATGGCAATTTCCTGCGGCGCTGATTGCCTGGCCCCTAAATCATCTGCATTTCGATTAAAATCCTCAGACTGCCGCGGTGCCGTCTGCTCCACATCGGTCAGGCTGAATTTTCCTGCATCCGAATCCGAATTGGGATCCGAATCCATGGGGCTGTTGTGGAGCATATCGCGCAGTGCATCGGTGGGGCTGTCAAACAGGACGCGTGCATCCTTTTTCTGCTGCTGTTGGTACTGTTGTTGGTGTGGCTGGTGCTGCTGGTGGCTCAAGGCCGCCTTCGTGGCCGTGGCGATAAGCGATGGTGGCAAAGATAGGACCACATTGCCATGGCCATGGCCACCGCCGCAATAAATCGCCAGGCAGACGCTGAGCCAGGCCAACGTGAGTCTCATGCTGTCTGCCGCTTGGATCGCTGGACCGACTTGGACTTACAAACTCCAGACTTCAGACTCCAGACTCCAGGCTGCAGACTCCAGACTTGAGCCTCGAAGTTGTTCCAATTTTTTAGTTCACTCCTGCCTCGTCGGCCACTTTGAAGAAGCCAAGTAAGCCAGTTAGCCAGTTGCCAGCCAGCGGCATCCGCTGCGTTTTGGCTCTTAGAAAAACGCAGAGACTGAAACTGAAAGTTGCCGGCCAGCGGTCCAGCTTTTTATAGCTCGAGATGCGGCCAAAGGAGCGGCCCGCGGAGTTTTGGGAATACGCCTGCTGGTCGCGGTCCAGAGACCCTTGGTCACATATGAGAACACTCGGAGAAATGGTCACCAAATCATAGAGGGCTTTACAAGTGGTTAACTTTCAAGGAACCACAGTTTTTTAGCGAGAGATTAGCATTTCTAGAAGGCTTTATTTATAATACATTTTTCTATGATGAACTAGAATAGCATTAAATTTGAAATCATGTTTAAGGTTAGCATTTATCTTATCCTAGTTTGATCATATAAATAAATGTATAACCGATCAATGATCGTAGGAAAAAGAATGTTTATTAAATGAATTAATTTATAATCCGACGTTCATTATTTATGAAATATTTATAAAATAAGTTTAACTGAACTTCTAGAAAAATTCCATCAGTCGTTTGAAAATAGGGCATTACCCTTTAGAGCAATTAAATTTAGGACTATAATTTCTAAATAAATAAAACTTTCCTTAAAACCCTACTCGATATGATATGTTAAGATTACTAAAAATTATTAAAATGTTAAAATAAATATTATAACCTTTACAATTCTTTGCCTCAGTGCCTGTTTGATTCCAAGCAATGCCAATTGTTTATCCAGCGCGTCGTAGCATGAAATTAATAAAAAGAAATTGCATTGTATGGCGACGAACTGGGAATTAAGGTGGCCCACTTGAGATGGCCCCAGGAAAACTCTCGTACGTCATAAGTTCACTTTGAAAATAGCAAACCAGTGGGCCAAACTCGATTGGTGTCCGGCTTTGTTTGCCTAACCTGTGACCCCAGAGCCGCCCTCACAAATTAGCCAGCCAACTTCTTGCACTACCTGAGAGACCCGGCGATAAAATCATGGAGTTCGCGGCTTTCTTTCAAGCCCCCAGAAGCAATAGACTACCTCTGAGAATTTATTGCCTGCTAATGTTCGATCGCATTTGTCTGAGGGCTGCCCTTCTGGTTAAAGCAGCCACAGAAAAAAAGGAAAAAAAGAACAAGGGCCCGCAAACCAAGAAAAAAACACAATTGTTGAGTAATGAGCACTGCACGTTATTAATGTCACTGGGGAATCGGGAATTGGGGATCGGGCAGAAGAAGGGCTTCGAAAGAAGGGTTTCAGGGTTTCTTAGGACCCAAGACCAGTTCTGGGTCTCGAACCACGATTTTTAATTAAGTAATTCGCTGACTTTGTTAGCCCTGTGGGCTCCATCTGTCTCAGATCTTCCCTGGCGACCATTTGGAGTTCTCTGCCCGTGTTTTCTGTTTTCAGTTTTTGGTCTCCTCTTTTTTGTTGTGTTTAATCTGGCTAACAAATTGCTTCATTTCAATTTATTTGCATTCGAGTCGTGTTCCGCTGGGAGTTCGTGGCTGCAGTTTTCTGTTTCCCGATCCGAGTGTGGAAAGGAAAACCTTTCTGCCTCCGCGGTCGTGTTCTAATTTATTTGTCTTTGATTGTGCCCATGTCTCCATCTCCACCGGGTTGTCTTGGTCGTGTCCTGGTCCTGGTACTGGTCCTGGGCTTTCTTTTTGTCCCGTCCCTGTTTGCGGGGCAAATTAAGCAAACATACATCATAGTCGGGGGCCATTAGAAGTGGCTCTTTGCGGATGGGAATGTGGCGCTCTGGGCGCGATTAATAGACCATTGCCTTGATATATGTGCGCAATTAGAGTGCTAATCAAAACCTAATCTCCGCGGCAGGAAGGAATTTATGGGTCCTCTATGCAGGGAACGAAAATTGGGAAGAAATGGGGAATGAAGTTTTGATTTTATATCATTATAAACCTAAAAGAAGAGGTGTGACAACGAAATATGTGGTGTTAAAAACCTTTTAAGAGTATTTTTTAAAAGGTTTTTGGGTGTTTTGAACCTTAAACAGACTTATTTTCTCTAAGTGCACCCAACTAACAACTGCCATTCTAATTGCAGCGGGAAATCAACGAGGTCTTCGAGCTGCGCAAGGTCCAGCGTTTGGAGCAGCAGCTCCGTGAGCAACTGGAGGAGCGGCTATCGCAGTCGGGAGTCCAGCAGCTTGATGAATTGTCTCGTTCCACGGAATCAGATAGCGGCTTTGACAGCAGCAGCACCACAGCCACATTGGGCACACCAGCTGGAGCTGGTGGAACTGGAGGAGCTGGGGCAACAGGAGCAGTCACAACGGGCCAGCCAGTGACAACTAAACTTAGGGCCCTGCCGCCACCGCCCCTCAGTCCCACCAAGACCCCGACGAAATCCCTAACCACTCCACCTGTCCAGGCGGACGATGTTAACATTTGGGCCTGCAAGTTCCTACGCGATCTGGACAGCCTGATGGCCACGGGCGATAAGCTGCCCCCGCATCTGGCAGCCCTGGCCGAAGGATCCGGTTCCGGTTCGGCCAGCAGTTCGCCCACCTCCAGGACGGCGCCCCTCCTCCTGTCCGCCGCCGCCTCGGCGGCCATCCAGAGTCGCTACGGCAAGGGCTCATCCATCATGGAGCATCAGCTCCAGCAACAGCAGCAGCAGCAGCAGAACGGACTCGTCTTGAAACCGGAGAAACACGTGAGTACACAGCAAGAAAAAGCCATTCTGCAAAGATAGAATTAAAGAAAAAATTCTTCAGGGATATCATATTTAAACATTTTTTTAACTATCCAAAACAATGCTAATGGATTTAAAACTTTCAAAATAAGGTATATACATGTTTAAAGAAGGTTAACCCCCCAGTGTGTACATATGCTCTGCAGCTCAGGCTGAGATTTCCTAATCTAAAATCTCTGAAATTCCCGTGTAATCTCCGGCTGCCTCAATTTCGACATGCGAGCGAACAAACAGCGAAGCATACTTTATGAATGTGGGTTAGATAAAATGCGCCCAAGACAAAGGCATCTAATCTGAATCACAACAATGTTGTCAACACACACGGGCAGCAATCAAATTTGGGGGCCCACACACACAGTTTGCCTCTCGCCACCCCCAGAAAAAAGGGCCTAGCCTCACCCCCAAAAATTCGGTGAGCAAGGAATGTTCTTTCAAGAACTGCCATATGTTCTATCCATCCATCCATTTGCCGGATGCGCAACTGAAGCGCGTGAAATTTATGGGCATCAGAATAGAGGAGTTGGAGATGGGCAGGAAGATGAAATGGGGGCTGGAAATGGGTCCGTTGATAGACAGTCGTCACTCGGTGGCTGGCACTCGAACGAGTTAAACTTTGAACTGTTTGAATAAGACAGAGGGCCAAGTTTTATGGGAGTTGCATTTTTTGGGGGCTTTGCATCGCCATAAAATGTGTAATAAAATACTCTAATTAGTGCAGTTCTTCTGGCTCAGATTGAAAGACAATTAGGGATTGATTGCCGGGCAAAGAGTCGTAAAAGATTTTCTAATTGCAATCAGTGTGCTGCGGAGGAAAGACCAAAGTTCAGAGAGATGCTGGCGAGTAACCCTGGAAATGAAGTGAGGAAATATATTTTCGGCTAAGCCATTAAGGGTCTTCCAAACACCATTTCTTTTCGTTGGATTCCTTAATTTCTTACTATATTTTCGTTGTAACTTTTTTCCGAGTGCTTGGCATTTAGTCCCAAGAAAAGTGGCTGCAATCTTTGGCCAACTCACCCAGCTGACCCACTTTGTGCAGTCGTGGCCCATAAACCATAAGCCCCGAAACAGACTAACCAACTTGTTAGCTGTCTCTGGCTTATCAAGCCGAATATATCTAATTAAAACATTTATAAGCCAAAACGACTCATAAACGGCACTGGGCTTGCGGTCTGGTCTCCGGCTCCCCGGTTGCATATGGTTAGCATACATTGCGCTCACCTCTCGGGTCTCCGATTATCGGGGGAAAAACCTCAAAAAGGCAGCAGCCGACTTGCTGCAACAAGGCAAATATTAATTTTCAAAACGCGTGCCATGCCAGTGGAAAAACACGACATCAACACCGAAAACGAAAATGAAAACCGAAAACCCACAAAAAACCCGGGGAGTGGATGGTGTTGGGGTGGGGGAAAAGGGCTCCATTGTTCATATGGCGTGGCTGTTGACAAGTCGAAATCTTGCTACCAATCGATAGTAACCTCAGTTTCAGCATTTTGCAGAGCCAAGTCTGCAGGGCCATTTCCTTTTCTCCCGTTCTAGTTGCAAAATGAAAGGCAACAGGAAATAATGTTGCCTGGATCTGTTTTTGCCAAATACAGTTATGGTCATAATAATAGAACAAGTAATAAATAAATATTATAAAATATTTTTCTTTTAAGATCACATAGGAACTTATAGTACTACATACTAGGGACATAAAGAATACAATTATTAGGACTTTGATAAAATACATTACTTCATTTCATACCTCTTCTTTAAATAGCAAGAAAACCTATACTACATTGGCTTTTAATGACAATCAAAACAAAATATTTATTTAGGAAAAAAAAGAAAGAGCATATATTTCTTTAACCGGAACTGTTTTTACTTCTTTGACATCCGCCTGCAAATAGTTTTCGAATTTTTGGGTGCCGTCAGGGAAAAGGTACCGGTCCCCGGAGCTGTCATATTTTGGCTTGATCGCTCCGGTAAAAGTGCCAATTAAAAGCGCTTAAGCCCCACTGCACTAATTAAGGCAAAGAATGTGGTCGACTTGCCAGCTGAGCGATACACTCATTCGGTCAATCAGTCAGTGAGACAGTGGGACTGAGGGCCATGATTTATGAGCTACCGACGGCAGCATAAATCAAAGGCTACATCGCATCGGCCTTTTGTATCGAGGGCACAAGTGCGTGCCCGGTTTGCCAAAAATCGGCTGGACAAACTGTCAATGAAAGTAAAACAGCAGTAGAAGTTTCTCAGTTTTTTCCACTTTTTCAGCTTTTTGTTTCGTTTGGATTGGTTTGGTTTCGCTCGAAAGGCGCAGGAGTGGAGTGAACTGGGTCAACATGCCGCCCTGCAGCAAGATCAGAAAAGCCAGAGACCTCTGCAGAACACTTCACTTCACTTTTTGCCGGGGCTGTCAACACGGCAGCAGACCGAGCGGAACCCAAAACGCCCCAATTTAGTTGGCTGCTATGTTTATGGGGATCGTATCGGGGCCCGGGCCCAGGCCCAGTGTTTCTCCCTGCGAAAGTGAATCTTGTGCAGCATGCTTGTTGCATGCGTGTGGCAGGGGGCATCATCGGCCAACGCAATGCGCTTAATGATGATGAACCATGCAGATGCAGCAGATGTGGAAGATGCAGAAAATGCTGGCCAGCACTGAGGGAAAAATATGAGAGAAATTCGATTTTGAAGAAATAAGGTAGAATCAAATAGACCTAGAAAACGGTTATCATGAGAGTTTAAAGTATATATTACCGATTTTTATTATTTGATCAGAGTATCTTAGGTTTATATTTTCAAAAATTTAGAATGAATAATATAATAGTTATGCGTTGTGAAGAGTTTGAGTATTTTATTCTATGATCCAAAATATTTCGGAAATGATTGTATCACCATATAAAAAGTATTTAAACCTGTAAAATGATAGTATATCTGATAATAGAAAGGACGTATTGCTTAGAAAATGTTTACAAATATTATAATCTTTAGGCAAAATAATATCCCTTATAAGATAGTCATTATATCTGAGGTTAACTTGGCTTAAACTATTGTTATCAGATAAATATAACAGATCTTAGAAATAATTATTTTCATTAAATAATTAGTAGTAAAAATTAGGGATAATGATTATTTTTGCACAACGCTGATAAGAATAGCTAATTCTTCATGTGTAGGCCTTGCAAGGCTGTCCAGACAAAAGACCGCGACACACAAAAAGCTTTTCACGCAGCTCAACGAGCCCCAGACACTTTGACTTAAGTAGAACTTGCAAATCACTGCAAGGCAAACAAACACGACGGCCAACAGAAACCAGGGAAGAGTATAGGGGATAGTGATCAGTGATCGGGGAACGGGAAACAGGGAACAATGTCCGGAGGAGGACGATGGGCTGGGCAGGCGTTTAAGTGTTTTGATTTGATAATTATTATCAGTGCGCATGCGTGACCGCGGGCAGCTCGTCCGGCCAACTCAGTCACTCATTTGCCGTGGCAGTCAGGGGCATGTCCAATCGATTTGCGATAGTCTGCCCCAGCATGATCGGGCGTACTTTAATACTTATGTTGTGCACTCGAGGACCGGCACTTTCTGGGTCACATATCAATAAAAGTGGAGCGCTGAGGCGTTGCCCAGTGCATTTGTCATTCTGATATCGAAACCAGTAAACAATCGCTGTATATACATATATGTATATTTATTTTTTTAGATTTCTGACGACCCGTTTTTATGATCAATTAGGAGCATTTACAGTTCCTCCCCCCGGGAATTCTTGATAACCCCAGGCCTAACCTAGGGGAAAAGCAATTTTTATGTGTCATTTTGTGTTCATTTTATTGCATTTTTCATTAACTAACCGAAGAAACATTTCATTTATTTTCCATTCCATTTCCAAATCGTCTCGTTCTTCGGCAATGTTGTGAGAAATGTTCACATTTTTATGACATTTAAATAAGTCTTTGTCAGCGTTTCGGATATCGGATTCTACTGCCGGTCATAAAACTGATTTGAATTTTCTTTCCCCAGCCGTAAAATGCTTCAATTTCAATCAAAACACAAGCCAGCGAGTGAGAGAGAATCATTGGGAATTGCTTACATATGTAAAACAGATTGGGCATTAAGAATTTTTCTATTCATTACATTTTTGGGTGCCTTGATAAAATCGCTAAATTAATCGAGTGTGCGCGGCGAGATACACAGATGATCTTCGGGCCGATAACTAGCCGTAAAATGGTGAAAAGTTTTCATTACCCCGGCAGTTGGGGTAGTCGAAATCGATCGGAGTCGGCGCCCGGCTGCCTATAAATGGCCATATGTTCGATTCTTGGCCATGCCCATAAACGCCATTGATCTGGACGCCCAATTAATGCGTCGCCGGCGAGAGTTGGCGGCTCATTAACACGCAGTTCGCTCAGATGGCATCGCCTTGGTCTTTATTAATAATTCATAGACGTGGCCCCGTAACAGGCGCTCGAGACTGCTCCATAATGCATTACAAATTTGATTTCGAAGCGGCAGCAGATGTGTGCTGGGTCTCCCAAAGGACCCCCCGACTGGCGGACCGCATCCGCATCCTGTGACCATTTTTAGACGGGCGTCGTCTGGTCCGGAGTCGAAGATTGCACTCGTTAGGGGGATATGTGCAGCTGGGAAGTGGAAAATATTGTTTGTTTTAATTCATTTATTATTTGTTTTCTCTTGCGAAAATTGCATATCTCTCAGACATAGTTCTTAATAATGAGGTTCTATTATATATGGTTCTAAAAAACTAAAACATTTTTTATAATTTTATAAATATTTGTTGATATGCCATCTCTGATTTCAACTCTTTACAAAAGAACTCCCCCTCTTAACTCGAAAAAAGTTCCCCGTGAATTCCTAAATGCCTACTCAATATTTATTTTAAGCGCTTGTAATTTCATTGTTAACTGGAAATGCCTAAATGCTGGGTATTATATTCATGTGTTTATAATTTAGTACAAAGCCCAGGCATTTCATATTGATTGCTTTCGGGAACTCGACTGGCAACTCCAATCAGGCCGTGATACACTTTTTGTGCCGGCAGTTTCGCTGGCCAGCGATTCGCCCAAGGCCCCCAAGGAATTACGCTAACAGAATCAGCAGCAGACACGGCAGCAATATCGCTGCTGCGGCAGCAACATCGCCATACAGCAGCCAGCAACCTGCTGCAGCGGCAACACGGTTCCCATTCCCGGTTTCAGGCCGCGGCTCGAGGCATAAATGCACATTTTTTTTTTCTGCCGATAAATCATTTAAATCAATTTCCGCCTGTTGCAGCAGCAGCCCGGATTTTTTCCGCCAAATGAGAAAACCAAATTGTCAAACGCTTGCCAAAGGCTTGTAAATCGAATTGACATAACGCACTTATCCCCCGGAACATGGAACATGGCCGTGAATATAGACATTCAGCTGGGCCTTGGGTTCTTGGAACAGAGCGGTTGTTATCACACGCGGCTTATAAATCATAAGCCAAAACAATAGGGGAAATGTCTGTGCTAAGTCGGCTTCATTGAGATGCCTTTCCGCGGAAATAACTAAAAGATGAAAAAAAAATCAGAAAGAGAAGAACTAACCCGTCTTGGTCAAAGATTTGCATAAAATACGAAAATTCCTGCGCTGCTTGCGCGTTCCACTTGACAATGTCTAAAAATTCCGCTGATGTTTCCTTTTTCGCATTGTCTCTGGGCCGGGCTTCCCAACAAGGTAGCCTCCAGATTGGATTGGTGGCTGTGGAGACTGGGGGCAGCCAGGTCCACCGCGCTCATTATGCATTCAAGGTCCTTGCCCGTGGAGGTTGAGGTTGCGGCCCTCGAAACTGTCAGCGGCACTCAGTGTCGACTTTTCTTTATTAAACCTGACTGACTATATTTTAATAAGTTAACTTGTTCTTCTTCCTGCTGCACTGGGGAAAAGCTGTCCTGAAATTGTAGCATTAAATTTAAAATGCACTTATTAGTTATAGGGAAATGTATGATACATGATCAGAAAAGACTCTTGTAATGCAAGACTTAAACTTAGTAGAAATTAATATTTTTAACATGACAGTATTTTGAGAAATATACATTTATTTAGTATTGTTGATCATCAAAGAAGTTTTTTTAAGGTTTGGCTTCTGAATTTTTTATCTTATCCACCATCAAATGAAATGAGGATATACTCTTAATATCGAAATAAAATATTAAAAAAATAAAATATCTTTAAACATTTTTATATTTTTTTTAATTTAATAAAGAATGCTTAAATATTCTAAGTGTATTCCTTACCTCTTCCAGGCCACCATTCCATTGCAATCGTTTTACCTTGGCTGCGGACGCAACGAGGCATCGCCGGCAACCAAATCGAATGTTGCCTATATGCGCACCCTGTCGGCGCCGAACGGGAGGATTGGCGGGAGCAGCAACTGGAGGATCCGGAGGAGCAGCCCTCCCCCCGCACAGTCAGCGCAAGAGTCTGGCCTGCCCCCCACTTAATGGCCAAGCGGACACAATAACTCCGACACCGGCAACTCATAAGCTGACAAATTTCCAAAGCGCATTGAAAATCGAGGAGATGGCAGCGGCGAAGGCAACAGGTGAATCCACGGCGACCACCTTGGAGGATTTGAAATCTAGGCGACAGCGACAATTGAGCGGCGGCGACATGGAGACAATGCTGGCCTCCCAGCCGATGTCGATGCCAAAACGGGTGGGCATTAATCATGCGGCGCTGACGAGCAGAAATGCCATAACCCCGCCGCCGGCATCCGCATCCCAGTCAGCCTCGGCCAAAGGCTCCTCCTCCTCCTCCTCGGCAGCAACCAGCACTCCCGGCTACCTGGTGGATGTGACCAAAAAAGGATCCACTTCGACCATTTGGACCTCGGAGAGTCCATTCTGCGCAGCGTTGGCGCCGTCGATGAAGACAATAAGTGAGTGCCAACATTGAGACATTACACTCGGAAAAACTGGGGGTTTTGGTATTAAATAAAGTGCTCTAAGGAATTAAAAAGAAATGCTAATCTCTGTCACCTTTTGGTAATTTAAAATCTAAAAGTATGCTATAAAAATTCATAAAAAACTTCTGACTTAAAATATATTGTTGCATACTTTTAGACACCAAAAATTATATTTAAAAGGAGATTTAAAATCCTTTTAATTTTTTAACCAATTTATCAGCCCCCCTATTTCTTCCGAGTGTAAACCATCGCCCCTTTGAATTGATTTGTCAATGTCTTAATGCCTCATCACGTTCCAGCTCCACTTCGTCTTCCTCGGCCTGTGAGGAGGCCACGGGTGTCCTGAGTTCCGGCAAATCGGGCATTTCATTGGACTCTTCGGGACTGGACAATGATAACAACGAGAGTGGCATTGGCACGGCCACTCCGCCGAAGGACATGTCCCACTACTGGAAGAGCCACCTGCAGCACCACCACCATCATCATCATCACCATCATCACAGGAAGTGTGTGGGAGGTGGCCACGCCCAGGACAATGAGTCGGTGAGCAGCCTGGAGGCGATGCGCAAGATGAAGTTCCAGAAGAGCGGCTCGGTGGCCTCCTCCGATGATCCCGATCTCCTCGAGGTTCTCAGCCAGTGTGGCAGTGGTGGCGAGGCGGCCAATGATCCCAGGACGATATGCTGGACGAGGAGAAGGACAAGGCAGGCAAGTCGCAGGACTACGATGAGTGCCAGAACGAGTTCGAGATGTGGGATTGCGACTGCACGGATGGGGATGCCAGTAGTGCCAGCGGAGGAGGTGGGGTCACAGCCACTCCGGTGTTCTGCGAAAGAAGTACACTGCCCCACCGCCGATCCTCGTGCCCAGGACCCAGAGGAGCCACTCCCTCGACCACTACCATTCCCCGCAGCCCCTTCTGCATCCCAGGAAGGTCCTGCCCATCCAGCACCATGCCATGAAGCACAAGGAGAGGGGTCAGCTCTCGCTAGTTTTGCGGCAGGAACCCTTCCAGTCGCTCCTGAGTCCCTCGGCCAATGCTGCCAATCAGTTGCACCACTTCGTGGAGTTGCCCTCGCCCAGCAGCGCCTCCTTGCACAGCGGATTGGGCGACTCTGGTGGCATCCAGGAGCTCTGCACCAAGTCCAACTCGGCGCCGATGCTGCTCAAGGAGCGCGAGATGGGCCGGCGATTCGATAATTTTGAAGCTCCGCATTTGGTGAGTGTTTGAAGTGGAAAAAAAGGTCAAGCGACGGTAGATAGATCGCAACTTGTAGTAATCACTTAAGAAATAAAAATATTTATCAGAAATGTATTTGCTTAAATTATAAATGATATTATTCAGTAACCTCTATAGTTTCTTGTTTAAAAAACAATGTAGATTACTCATATTGCATATAAAATCTCAAATTTATTTCCTTTATTTTTATCATACTTAAATCTTAGCAGCTCCACTTTACTCCATATTCCGTTCAAGGCAATTTACATAATTTATTTTTCCTTTTTTTGTGGTGCCTTGCCAAGTTCTGAGTAGCCTTACCATTCCACCGGCAAAGGGTATCCCAATCCGCTTATGGATCCCCCTTCGCAGCACTTATCTACCCGCCCTCGCATCAACTTGATTACCAGACATTAATGGACATTCTCTATAACCCCGATCCCTCTTTTTTCCCACAGACGCTGCGCTATTCTCGTTCGCAGAGTGATCGCTATTTAGCAGGTGAGTGAGTAGTGAGTAGTTAATACTGGACGCAGAGCCCCCAACGAGTTCTTTTTAGCCACGAAACCAGCCGGGCTAAATGAGTTATTTAAATGGCCTGAACCGGGTCGGGACATCAAGGCTGAATGGCTGAATGCCTGATTTGATGCGCCGGTGGTCCTGCCAGCCAATTAGCGGTCTGTTATTAAGCCTGAGTGGTTTATAATAACAGTCTGTCGGGGCATGATTCATAATTTCTATAATTATTCGCGGTTCTGATCTATATATGATGGGTAAACCACTCCACTGCCTCGGGGGACCAAACACATCATAGGACATTGTTTGGGCCTGCAAATCAATTTCGAACTTTTGCTTTCATTTCGACCAAACAATTGAAGGGTGGCTGTCATTTAAATTACCTTCATGTTCGCTGGCCAGAAAACGGGAATATCGAGGGCACCACAGCAAACGGCTCTTTTTGCGAATTTCCAACACTTCCGTCAACACTTCAATACAAATGCCACAATCCCAATCCCAAAACTCAAGCCCCAACCCCCAATGAAAATGGCTGTCAATCTGTCAATTCCGCTCACCATAGAGTCCAAACATTCAGTGGCATACGGGCACTGAGAAAAAGGTATCGCAAGAATCTGAAATATTAAGAAGAAAGTCCAAGGTTATTAGCTTAAATGATAGAACTTTTGAGCAATCGTACTATATTTTTAAGTTCATGGGAGATATCTCTATTATAATCTATGAATCAACACATCACTTAAAATAAATATATCTTAATTCTTTTAAATAAGGAACACCCCCAACACTTTTTTGGTTATGACAAAACCACCTGATTTCCATTCAACAATTTACTTTATTTTATTATTTATCTACTTAAATTATTCTTTATAAATGACTGATAAATGTACTTGAAAGTATTCAGAAATTCCTTAGATAATAGTATTCAATATAATGTTCCTATTTGTGCGTAACTACGTTACTTGATGTATTATCTATTCCACCTAAAAACCTTATGAATGAGGACTTTTCTAGGATTTTTCCTTCGTGTACATAGTCATACCTATCCACATATTGCCTCTTGACCAGAACTCGACTCGACTGGCGGTGATGATGATGGTGTGATGGCACTCTTTGTGCTAAAAATGGCGTATAAATGAACGGGAGGCGAAAAAATTGAATCACAAACTGGACGCCAAGTGTCCTCCAGTGGCCGCTGGAGCTCCCATTCAATTTCGCTTTTGCAGCCTGACTGCCCCCAACGAATTATGCACATACAAAGCAGTTCGGACCAATCTCGGCCAATGACGTCATGACGCGGGGAAATGGGCGAAAAAAAGCAGGCAAAATAAGAGGGAGCGAGAGATGGTCATTTTATGACCATTATCTGGATGTTTGCCTGTCATTTCCTCGCACACTGACGTCATTACAATGACGTTTTTCTGGCCACTGACAATGTGCCCTCCGAAAAGGTCGCGGCCTTCGGTCGGTTTATCTTATGTACTTACGCGTATTTATATTGCCCATTTAATGTGTGCCATTGCATTGCATTGCCCATACGCCCTGTGTGTCAATAATGACGGGCTTTAAGTAGAGCTCATTGTTGTTTCTTAACGGAAGCCAACTTCCCAAGTGGCCAGCTCTGCTTTTGTTTATCTTATTGAAAAGATTAACACGCTTACATATATGTATACCAAGATTTATATCTCTGATGTTGCACAAGTACAAATTACTCGCATTTATATTTTATTTTATATACACATGTCTTATGGAATATATGCGCATGTGTTCCGTCTTCCGCACCAAGACACACCCCAAAAATCAGAAATAATACAAAAGTGGGAGTAGATTAATGAGAAATAATGTACCCGAGTGACTTGCCAATGATTTGTGCTCATAATTTTCCTGTTTATCCAATTAATCGCCTCCAATAAAAGCGAAATGGCAATATTTTCCCAGTGCAAGATGCAAAGACAAAACGTGATCCTTAAACAAACGAACTGCAGCTGTGTGAAAACAATGGACTTGCACTTCAGCGATTAGAATTGTTCTGAATAACCGGGTCTCAATGGAGATATCAAACAGATGAGCGGCTGTATCATCAAAGCCCCTCCAGACGCAATAATACCATTTATTCAACTCTCCATAAATCATAAAACCGAGCAAAAGCTCAACCTTGAGCACACTCCAGCACACACATATCTAAAATGAAAAATAATAAAAAAAACTGTGCCAAACCAACTGTGCACAAAGCACACGGCCACGCCCACAGCCACAACGCCCACACCTTTCAGTGGAGCAACAGGTGCGGTTGTATCTCGGTGTCTTGAAACTTTCACATGCCAACGTATAAATTTTAATGAATGCCTCGTGAAACAAAAAGAGAAATACAACTAAAACATCAGCTGAGAGTCCTTTTGGCGAACATCATCAACATGACAGTTATTCATTTATTTATTTATTTGTTCGCCCATGGCCCTGGCCAACTAACCACAGAAATAATAATAATAAGCGATTGTGGGGCCGATAACTCTCTCTGTGTCTGTGCCAATGGAACATGGGCCAGGAAGTTGCCCTTTCTACGGCCTATTTGGGCGAACAATACCTAGAGGCCCTTGATGAAGAAGTACGAGCAACAGCACAGCCATGTTGCTCATACGCCCCGTTGTTCGGGGTTGCTCATACGCCCCGTGCGCCCATTTCGCTGCTCGGTTGCCGATGCTTCGGACTTCGAACTTCGGCTCGCCATTTTCCGAGGGGAAAACGAACGCGTTGCAAATTCATTAGTGCTCTTACAGGCGCCGTGCACGGTTGTCGATTTTCGTGGCCGCAGCGAGTGGAAAACTCGGGTGGAGCGCGTCGACGCCGCCGACTTAAAGCCCAATCAAAATAAATATCTAAACAAATTAAATATCACTAAAAAATAAATAGAAAAAAGAGAAGAAAGTGCATTGTGTGCTCGAAATGGGGTGTATTTTGGTGTAGTTTTCTGTAAACAATCCAAGAAATCCGCTTCGAGCGGCCAACAGTTGATTCTTTTCTATCGGGAAAACCACATTTGTGAGTGCTTTTCAAGACGGCGCTGCCCAAACTGGCCAATATGCAACGCCGCATGTCCATCACCATACGCGAGTACAAGTTCTTCAGGAGCTTCTCGCAGAAGTTCGAGAACTGGCCCAAACGCAAGGCCGAGGCATTGTGGCGGAAAATGCGCGAACGCAAGATTGCAGGTGAGCATAAGGTGGCATTTACCAGCCGCCAAGGCAGCTCACTGGGAAAAACTTAGCGAACTACTTTTTAGCAAGCAATTAAAAATATTTTTTTATATTTTTGAGAAAATAGGGCTAGAATTTGGGACACCAGACAATAATTGTTTATAGAAATGATTAATATAAATGCGATTTGATCTCTAACCCAATTAAATAATCTTATATATTATCATGATATATGTTATGAGATGATAGCAGTTAGTTATTAAAAACGTTAGATATTTTTTTATTTTACTTTACACTTTGTAAGGTTTTAGATAGAATTTAAAAATACAAAAGATCATCATGAATTTATAATAATATCTAGTTCTTTCTCTCAAGCTAGATCATTGCATAGTAGGCACCTTTAAAGATTGGCCAATTTATGATTCGCAAAACCTTTTTGCCCAGTGTAACCCTGCTTCAAGGGCAAATTTGTTTTGCCCACTGGCCGCTGGCAAATTGTTAAATACTTTGTTATTATTGTTTACAATTATGGAAATATGCGAGTCTGGATCATGGTGTTTCTGGTGGCTTGGAATGCGCGCGCGCCACTCGCACCGCCAGCAATTGGCTGTTTATGGTTTTTCGGCACCCCACAAGGGGATCTTTATCCCCCCAACCCCCGGCAAAACCCCCTGCCCATTTTAGCCGTTTATTTTTGGTAATGGGAATGCGGGGCATGGCTATTTCCAGTGCACAGCTTGTACTTATCAGTCGACGCCTCGCATTTAAATCGAATTATTCGCGCCGCTAGTTTGGGAATATGTATATCAATAGGGCAGGGGGAATTGCAACAAGTGATCCCAGTCACCAGCATTCTGTCAGCCAGTCAATCATTCGGTCATCCAGTCAGTCAGTCAGTCAGTCAGTCAGTCAGTCAGTCAATGTCCCCGCCTTATGACCATCATAATCATCATCACCATCCACCGGTTTCGCCGTTTTCTTTACACTCTAGTGAAATTGCGCGCCAGTCAAGCAGAGCCATTCATTTAAATAAAGAAAATTGTTTGCGTGCTGTAATAAATGGAAAAAAATTATTATACAATTAATATGTATACTCGTGGACGGGTAAAAAATGCGGGAAATTGTTTTAATTATAACTCGTACCTGCCTCCACGTTTCGTGCCTCCAAAAAGATATACAAATATGACACAGAGAACTGAATGGACCATTGGAAACGCATTTTTATGGCAGTGTCTTGAAATTTCCTTGTTCTGTATTTCGGTAAACCCTTTTGGGAAATTCATAACCAACCACCTGTAAGCCACAAGCCATTTCTCCCCTTTAATTTCATTTCATTTTCCTAAGCCATTTTTGGCCTATAACAATGTATAAACTTTCCATTCCGCCTTGTTTTGTTTGCTTTTATTCTGTTATTGTTTGATTATTTTGGCTTGCGAATGCGAATTTTGGTTATTTTTATTGTGCGCGAGTGTGCGCCCAGCAGGAAATATGCCGCATATAATGCGCTGACATTAAAAACACATTAAAAGCTCAATGATCTGTTATATTTGGCCGAGGAATTCCCGAGGGGCCGCTGCTACTTGGTCCCTAATTACATTGAGGGCTCAAAATGGTGGCCCCCAGGCGAAAGTGAGCAGCTCCACCCATCGTTGAGTTCACAGCAAATTAAACTGACGTTCCACCATGCCACTTGTTGCAGCCATTTGGCAGGGCCGAAAAAGGGAGTTGGCTAGAAGGGAGCAGCATCTGCCACACACTTATGGCCCAGAAAATGTATAAATAGCCTTATCCTTTAGCCAGGCAGCAGGCAACAGGCTTTTGTGTGCCCAGTGAAGAGGAAAGGAGTGTGCACATGTCTATTTACGTGGGCCCAACAACTCTATTTCGAAAACACAACTGAAAAGCGGCAGTTCAACTGTTTAGGGGTCTATCCTATATAGATGGCTATTTCTGGTTTGCAATTTATAATTAATAATCCACTTTGGCCAGCGTTCTCTTTGATGGGAAGCAACCACAAGGTGACTGAAATTTATGTTCCTCCTGACATTCGAATGCAACGGCAGACAATAAAGCATTCGCGCAGCTTGCCATTGGCCATTTGGCCACTTGGCCATTAATTAAAGCCACGACACCTACGACAATTATTTATCTAACGAACATACTCGGTTCATTTGCATTTCTGCTGTAAAATTGCATTGTTTCTGGCTCCTGGGGCTAGGCAATTTACTGTTTATATGGCAGCATAATTGGCAAATGAAACCGTTTAGCGGGAAATTAATGAAATTGCTGAATAATGTTTTGGGAGCCTGTGGCAATTGAATTAGCTATCAATTAGTGTCAACAGAAATCGATTTATGTGGAAGGTAGAATGTTGTTCGAACCGAGGTCAAAGCTTTTACATCATGTGTTCTGGCCATTTAATTATATTAGGCCAAAAGTTTTGAGCTGTGCGTAACGGGGGCTTTTGTAGCCATGGCAACAAACATCCCAGGGATGTTAGATCCTTTACATAACATAAGTCGGTGAACGCTGCTGTCTGTCATCCGCATACAATGTCATCTCTTTCAGCTTGGCTGCATTTTTCTGGAGCACACGCACTCACACACAGACAGTCGAGTGGAAATGCGTGTCAGTGACACCCACACAATGGGCCAGAATTTTCCGAGCGAAGGATAAAATCTACGGCAATTGTGTTAGGAACTTTGCTTTCATTGACACTTTCCTTTGCTTTCCCTGGCTTTCCCTTGCTTTCCTTTCCTTTCCTTTTGGTATCCTCCGCAGAAACCATAAACCATAAACCAGAAACAGCCAGCTGGTTTGACTTTTACCCCATTGCGGTCTCGGTGGGCGGCTCTCGAAATCAATGCAAATTTTAATTGAAAATTTAAACAAATTTGGTGAACAACAAGCTTGAACTATGCCAGAGCAAAGGGGGGATTCAATTAATCCTGAGTTCGGGCAGAGACAATATTATGTATGCAAAATGGTGACGCCACGAGAACAAAGACAAGCCTTGTTTAATTCATTTACAAATGGCAGAGAAAATTGAACAGGATAGGAAAAGGAGAAACTTTAAGGAACTTAATCTTAGCGAAAAACGAAGACTTTAAAACCAAAGATAGCGAACTCATAAATGTATCTCATAAATACATTTGATTAAGATGTGGGTTTTGCATCATTGTTCTAAATATTTTTTAAAAATTACTTATGTATTTTTATATGCTTGCCTTAAAAATCAATTGAAAATTTAAGTTCTTCAAATAGGGTTCCTTTAAAAATCCTTGAAAATAATAATAAGAAATATGAGTTTCTGGAAGACATCTTATAGTTCCTTGAAGAACTCATTATTTCTGGTTCCAGGAAATGGTACCGATAATTCCATGAAATTCAATACCACTTAGATAATCATCGGCCAATTTAAAGGGCAGAGTTCACCGAAAGCGCAAGACAAAAAAGAGTGTGTTTTTGTTTTAAACACCCCCGCGAAAGGCAGTCTGCTTGGCATTTTATATATTTTTAATTAGCCTTAAGGTCAAAACGCCGCATCATGGAAGCCCCGATGATGATGATGATCAGCATCGTCTCATGTTCCAAAACGCCCCCAAAACTCCCCCACACACACAATGTTCGGGTCCATCAGAATAATTATTATCCTGGGCGCAGGTGAAGTTCATGAATTTGCGCGTTGCTTGTTTGGAAATGTTTTTAAAAGGCAGGAGGAGGGTTGAGTTGGGGGAAATGGGTCAGCAAAGGACAATAAGGACAACAACTGGGCGGTACAATGTGTGTGTGTGTGTGTGGGTATACAGGAACAAATATTGAACCTGACGCAATAAGCTGTGAGTGAGCCTTTTGCACACACAAACACACCTCCACATTGTTTTACTCGCTTTAAATGGCTTTTAGATGAGTTTGCGACGTCAACGCGGCGTATGCGCAATTTATACCACTCACAAGTGGCATTTACAGAAAAATAACACTGCCAACGCAAAAGTTGCAATTGCGGGATCATGATAGTAATTATATCCACTCACACCTTGATTGCAACAAGTGCGGAAGCTTAAAATGCCATGTTAAATTAAAAACTTTTCTTTACAAATTAAGAAGTTATTTATTAATATGCCAAGCTCTGGAAAATAGTATTTATTTAATATTTAATCATTACCCTAACATTGAGTTTGGTATAATTATTTTAGAATATTAAAACAAATCCTAAGGGTCATAACACCATTAATGGGTTTAGAAAAAATTATCATTTATTTTGCATAGGTATCTTTTTAGGCATTAACAAAAATAATAAACTTTAGGTGATTTAAAAATTAAAGTAGGAGCAAAATGATGATTTATTAATTTTTAAATAGAAATTTGGGGCTAATCAAAAAAAAACCTAAAGAAATTGAAAAACTTCGAGCTAATTTCATGATGGATGACTTTAGAATTAGAGTTGGAGCCAAAAAGATTACTTGTTTATCAACCCAAGTTGATTGGGTAATCGTCCCAATCATAGACATGCAATACCATATGTTGCGCTATTTTCGGCCCGTAATTTGCATGCATAATCGAATACCTAAGCCCACTTACCTGTAGTTCCTTGGATCAGGTCAACATATGAGTACGTATGAGTACTGGGGACCTGGCCCGCTGCCAAGATCCGGATCCCCTGGAAGCGGGTCATGCGTCCGGCGAGCAGCTGTCAGAATGCCAGCAGCATAAATCGATGTCCGAGGGGTTGCTCTCGTTTATAAATAACTGCGGAGACACTGGGAAAGGAAACCCGGACAGGTGCTCCCACAATCGCCATAGGAATGGGTGTAGGTATAGCTGTAGCTATAGGTATTGCCATCCTCGTGCAAGTTAATCGCTTGCAAAACTCAATAATAATTCACTCAGCCACGAACCCCCCGCCTTGCCCGTTCTCCCCGCTTTTCCACATAGGTTCATATTTTCCTGCTGGCAGTAAGCAGCCGGAAACTGTTTCATGTTGTCGCTCAGCCTGATTAAAAATCAATAGCCCTGTCGCCAGATCCTGTTACTCGAATTGAGCCAAGCTGGATACAAGAAAAAAAAACAAAAACAGATTAGCATTTAAAATAGCTGAGGCCAAGTGCCTTTGGCCGCCTTTGTTTCAGACCAACTGGCTGGAATTCGATTTGAATTCATTGCGGTCTTGGGCTCATAAAAAAGTATGACTTACATTTCTTATTTGCGGTTCAATGCGTTCTTTGTCCTGTCCTTGTCTCAAATTAGCTTGGCATAAATAAGCAATTTTATCCCCTAAGCTTGCGGAATCTGTCTTCATCTCTTAAGTCCCATTTCTCCGAGACTTTTACTTTCTTGTGACTTTAACTAAGGTGGAGTCGAACGAAAATCACATTTAAGACCCTGAACGACCGCATTCACATAATTTTAAGCCGTCAACTCCATTCGGTGGGTTTACAACGTAATCCATCAAGTGACCCTGAAAAACCCGCGGACAATGGCCAGACTTTGGTGACGGCTTCTTCTGGGCCAACCCGGTGTTTAATTGGTTTCGCAGTGCGGCCGGATTGAATTTGGTTGGGCAAAAAGGATGCGTTCGGAAAACTTAATTACAATTAATTACATTCGCTGGAAACTCATATTCATCCTGGATTTTCTCTTCCCTCTTTTCCTCTTGCAGAAATCGAAGCCGTGGAGGCTTGCAAATGGCTGCGAGCTGCAGGTTTTCCGCAATATGCACAGATGTACGAAGGTAAGTGCGAACCACATCCACCTCCCCAAATACCCCCTACTAGGCACTTCCGTTTTGGGCTGCACTGTTAAAAAAAATGGTTAAAAATGGAAAAGAAATTGAGAAAAAATGGTTAAATTGATACTAGAACTTATTCGGAAGTCAAAGCATCAACAATTTAAATTAAAAGTGACACTTACTTACATCTCACTACACTGTGAAGAACTTTGGAAAATAATGTTTATTAAATATATCTCGGCAACATAAAGGAAAAAGATGGGTGATATACTAGGTATGCTATAGGTTGTCATGACTTTTTAAAATAAAATCCTGTTGGGAAAAATGTAAGGCAGTGTCATATGGCTATCGCCGTTTTCACCCAATTGAAAGCAATTTTCACGTGATTTCGTAGACCCTTTTTTCCCCCAGTGCATGTCGTGGCAGCTTGCTCTTGCCCTGGGGGCGTGGCAGGCTGGTGGTCGGTAATTGATGGTCTCGTCATCGGCGGTGACGCAGCAGCAGCGGCAGAAACAGCGACCGAGCCACTTGACCAACATGCCCGCCATTTAGTCTTGTGTGTTTAACGCTCTCCAAGTGGCAGTTTATTAATTGTATTACACGAACTTTCACTTTCGCCACTGCCACTGCCCCAAGTCCAAGTAGAAGAAATAAAAAAGGAGGTTAAAGACAAAACATTTATGACGTGGCAACATTCGAGAACAATTTAAGTGCCGCCTCACGACGTCTAAGGGTTTCAACACCATCGGCAGACAAAGAGCTGCCCTCGACATGATAGTGAATTTGATATCCCAAACACGCGGCACAAACCGCGACAACAATTAGGCTGATAGGATCCCTTGGATCCCGAATCCGATCCATTCTATCCAAGTCCTTTCAGGCGAAAACGAAAGCCCAGCAACGCCTACCTACCAGATCAGGGCAATCTCAAGAATTTAACCCAAGGCAACGCACAGCAAAAACCGCATGAGTGGCCTGCAAAAACTCGTGAAGCAGCCAAACTCCAATAAAATATAATAAAAGGCTAAAGGACACGCAGGCCAAAAGAATTTATGAGGACCACCTTCGTATAAAAAACTCCGCACAGAACCGAAAATTAAAATGGTTTCGGTTTTTTCCCCCTTTTTTTTTGGATTTTTCGTTTAAAAGGGCTTTGGCCTTTGAAGAAGGGGCTACCCAAAACTACAACCGCCAGCCAAAATGTTAGTATCAGTTCAATGAACCCTGCATATTTATTTGATTTCCTTAATCGCAAGCGAAGTCGACCCTTCTCCACAGCATTTGTCGCAAGGCATTTAACGCCTGGAGGCCTCGCAGATTGATGAGCCGCGCGGATCTGCAGAGACTCAAACAAACATACCCGAAAAGTACATTCTTAAGCCAAAAAAGTTCGCCGACTTCATGTGAATTATGGCCAAAAAGCGGATTCAAGAATAAAACGCGAAAGACCAAAAAGTGAATCTGAAATGGAGAGCCTGCAATTTGGGCATGCCGCAGGCGCCCTGTCGCCGACCTTGAAATATGCGAATTGTATTGCATAAATTCAAGACCAGAACCAACGACTTGGAAGGTGCACTCAGAAAAATTAGGGATTAATATTCAATTTTATTTTAATTTTCTGAATGCTGTATATAGATATATTTAAGCACCAATGAAATTAATTGACCATGCTTGAACTTGAAACTCTTTTAGTTGCCTTATAAACATATATTAATATTCAAGACTACCTAAAGACAATACAATCCCCTTTTTACTTAATATATTTTTTAAGTGATAGAAACCGCAACGTAAATTCCCGACTTATGGAATAATTTGTGCGCACATTTAAACTGGAGCCCAACCCATCGCAGGTCTTAAGACCAGGCTTTAATTCCAATCCCAATCCCAAACGCAAACCCAAAACCCATCTGCATGACCATCTTTCCCTGACCGGGGACAACATGATAAATGCGTATTTTAATGAGTTTCGTGTAAACAAGGCAGCGGCGCATGCGCAGATTGCCGCTCAAATTTCCACAGCATTTGGTGGATTCTTTGGGGCTTTTGGCTCGGCAAATTAAAATGCCGTAGGTGTGTAAGTTGCTCGCTGCTCTGTCATTTGATTTGGCCCGGGGTATTGGGACTTGTGCTGCCGCTGAAAGGAGGTGTTCCGGCTGTAAGCGACTGTTAATTTGCCCAGGAACCCAGGACAAATAAAAGAAAAAACCAGATGAGGGACTGAGGATGGGCATTTTCCCCCAGCCTTTGTTTGCTTTTTGTTCACTTCTTGCACTCACATTACTCACCGAAAGTGGCAGACTTAATTCGAGGGTGTGACCTGCGCCAGGCCAGGATCATATGGGAGTGCTTAAGAGGGCAATAAGAGCTCATGAGGCTTGCCAAGGCAATCGATTTTTTTGGTCCAAAACAACCGGTTCTCCTGGGAGCCAAAAGCCAAGAAACGGAACTTGGGGAGTGGTGAAAATAAATCACTGCTGATCCCATAAAGTATCACGTATTTTCAAAAGAGTTCCCACTTTTCCATTTTAAAATCATCTAATTTACTTTCTTTTTAATTGTTTCCCTTGCAAAGACTTTATTGAAACATCAGCCAAGTCTAAACAATAATTATTTCGTGGAGACCCCATAAAGTTCTATATTCAATGAAATCTGCATCCTAATTTAGATTCCAGGCTAATTGCTTCTACATTTCCCCAAAACAGCCATAAATTGCTCCTAATTACATTCGAATTTCACTGCAATCTGCGTCATTGGCTGAGAAAAAAGATTAATCATATAATTGGCCCAATAAATGAATGCATACCCAACCCCTGACTCTCGTGTAAACTGTGAAAAGCCTCGGGGGAAAAAAAACACAAAAAGCTGAGAATTACACCTACTTCCCGAATAAACTCCTTCTGACGTCAGCGATTTGTACTGGATCGTAACTCCCAATGGGTTATCGAACACTTGGCACTGGCACACTTCCCCATTTTGTTTACACCAGCTTTGTTCCCTCAATTAGAAACCAAACACACCGAACACTTGACTGTTTGAAGAGGAGCATCCGAAATGGTCTTATAAATACTCAGCAGGGCCAAGAGTAGGAAAAGAATGGCGCTGGAGGAGCGTAAACAAAACTATAAAAAGCTCCCATCATGAAAGGAGAGAAAGAAACGAGTTGGGGCGTTACTTTTGAGCCGAAAGTTCAACAAACCATGAATGGCTTCCCAAGAAGAACAAAATATTGTTGTAATACTAACAATATTTGTGCAAACAATGCAGCTTTTCCAGGCGTCGAGTATCCAGACCCCAGTACGCAGTACGCAGTGCATCCTACGGATGTCGAGCAGTATTATCTGCAGCAGCTGCAGATGCGAATGTATCTGTATCTGCAGTATCGCTGCTTTATTCGTATTTGTGTGACGCGTCGCGACATGTGTAAACGTCTGGGTATAATCTTTTCTTTTCTATATAGTTTTTTTTTTTTTTTTTTGTGGACGAGGCGGCGGTCGCCTTGGAACTTGATTTCCTACGTGCGAATTGGCCACGCAAATATGTGGAAAAACGCTGTGAAAATTCAGCTGCCCGATGGCAGACTACCATGTATCGTATATACCGAGGCAACCCGACTCGTACCCGTTTAATGATCGCTGGCGCCATGGGCGTTCGACTTTTCAGGTTTCTCAATTAGAATTTCACGCGTCGTCGAGACGTGCAGTCGCAAAAATACACATACTCCCATCCAGCTAATAGGAGTCCTTTTAAACACTCGCTAATGCCTTTGCAGATCATCAGTTCCCGATCGATCTGAACAATGTAGCCAAAGATCACACCAATCTCGAGAACGATCAGCTGCAGTCCCTCTACCGCCGGCTCTGCGTCCTCAATCGGTGTGCCACCATGCGGCTGGACCAGTCCCACAAACCGCAAACACCACAGGTAAGAGAAGGATCTATCAATATATGTAAGATCATATCATATATGAGCTTAACCTTGCGCTTAGAGTAGCAATTGAATACTAATCTGTTATCATAACAGAGATTATAATTCCCATTATAGGTTTCCTTACCCCTTGTATTATATCATTAAAACCCTTTCTCCCAACTAATTACCATCTCTCAGCAAAAGGAGGAATCGGATGATGAGAACTTCGCCCTGAGCGAGCACTGGACATTCCAACCGCACATTCGCCGCTGGTCGCGGATCGGGGAGATGGGCCTGGAGCTGCCGCCTCCGGGATTGCTGAGCCTGAACGTGGAGAAGACGGAGAGCTCGTCGAAGGAGTCTAGTCCGGATCGGTTCGAGGAGGATGGCGCTGGGATCACGCTGGTGATTCCCGGCTGCAGCAAGGCCAGTGGTGGCGTGGCCACCGATGGCTCCTCCCTGGGCGAGGGCTCCGATGGCGGTCGCTTGAGGAGAAGTGGCAGCGAACGGATCAAGGATCAGGCCAAGGCCCTGTGAGGCGGGTGGAGTCCATCAAGTCGCGACGTCGCAAGCGACAGAATCGCGAGAATGTGGTGATCAGTGGACCCACAGTGCTGGACCTTTCGCAATTCAACCAGCGGAGTAGTCTGCGCAAACCGGATGCCGTTTATTCCACCCCGCCCTCACCATCGGCCTTGAGCCCCATGCACACATTCCCCAAGGCGCCGTTCTTCGGCAACGACCTCAAAGTGCCCAGTCACAGCGACAACTTCCTGAGTCCCAATCGCTCCAGTCCCAAGAGGACGCCCACCACTCCCCGCTCGATGAGGACCAGCCCGCTGCACTTCTTCTCCAGTCCCATGTCGCAGCTGAAGGAGGGCAAGTCCGATGATTCCTCGTCCTATTACAGCGACAGTCAGGAGTCCTCGACGGGGGGTAAATTGTCCCTGAGGAAACCCTCCAAGGCCCGAAGATTCCTGCAGCGCACGGGCAAGGTGATGACATAGGTGCCCATTCCGACTCGGAGTGTCATCAGGGAAGGAAGCTCCTCATCAAGATGCCAATCCAATACCACAGAGGTCAAGATAAAGAAGTTGACACGCGGTGGATCTCTGAATTGGGAAAGGATCCCAAGAAACGCGAAGGTTTCCGCTCCTCATCTTTCCGCTCGCGAAGCACCTCCGAAAGGAACCCAAGAATGATGAAGATCAGGCTGGTGGTGGTGCCACAAATGGTGGCTCCAAGCGACAGCCGGTGGTGCGTTGGCACAGTTTCCAGATGGAGGAGCGCCCCAATATGATATTCCGCAAGTGCTTCTCCAAGAAAATAGAGCCACTGCAGGAGGATTCGGGTGGCATGCCCTTTGCCGCCATGTCAGCGGGTCAACTGCAGATAATCCGGAAACTGGCCCTGGTCACCCTAACTGGACACATGGAGCGATACTGCCCGTCCCATCGATCCGGCTGGAACTGGGAACTGCCCAAGTTCATCAAGAAAATCAAGATGCCTGACTACAAGGACAAGAAGGTATTCGGTGTGCCGCTCCTGATGATCCTCCAGCGCAGTGGCCAAACCCTTCCCACGCCGTGCGAGCTGCCTTCCGTTGGCTGCAGCTGAATGCCCTAGACCAGGTGGGAATCTTCCGGAAAAGTGGAGGAAAGTCCGGATCATCAAGCTGCGCGAACAGATCGAAGTCTCCGATTCCACCGCCGAGTGCATGGATGTCTTCGATCTGCAGCAGGCCTACGATGTGGCCGACATGCTGAAGCAGTATTTCCGCGAGCTGCCCGAATCCCTGCTGACCACCAAGATGTCCGAGACCTTTGTGGCGATCTTTCAACGTAAGTAAAAAAATACAATTTGATTTCTTATCCAGAAAAAAATAGAAGATCGACCTTATTAAAGGCAAAACTTAATAGAAATCCTAAAACAAAAATGTGCTTCTATTTTTAAGAAGAAAGGATACATATATTTAATTTTAATTTATAAAATACTCTTTCGTATCATTATCGCCAGATCTCCCCGCCGAAGTGCGTCTGGATGCGGTGCAGTGTGCCGTGCTCCTGCTGCCCGACGAGAACCGGGAAATCCTGTACGTGCTGCTCGAGTTCCTGACCATTGTGGCGGCCAACTCGCAGCAGAACCAGATGACCAGCAACAACCTGGGCGTCTGCCTGGCTCAGTCCATCTTCCACTCGTCCATCTCGACGGGATCCGCCTCCGTTTCCGCCTCACCACGTCGCAAGGGCAAGGGATCCGGCATGCCGGACATGAAGGAGCTGGCCGAGGCCAAGGCCTCGCACGAGTGCTCTCCTTCATGATCGAACACTACAAGCAGATCTACACGGCCGCCAAGGAGAAGCTGGCCAAGTGCAACTTCAGCTACATGGAGGAGTCGAAGCCCCTGCCCCTGGAGGCCCTCGGCGAGGGCATGCAGTTCCACAACTGGCGGGGATACCTCTACGAGTGCACCAGTGCCACCATCAAGGAGGGTCGCGAAAAGTGAGTTGCTAATATTATTTCTTTAAAAAAAGTTCCTCTATCAAATTTAGTATTTGAAATTTAGTATTTCCTTTATTTAGTTAAATAAAAATCACCATAAAAATGTTATAATATTTATTTTAATCCTTTATTTTAATCCCCTCAGAACCCGCGGCTGGTTTAGCGTTAACTCGCTGAATGACAGTAATGTGGACATTGCCTACAAGAAGGTGGGCGATGGTCATCCTCTGAGACTCTGGCGCTGCACCACGGAGATCGAAGGACCCCCAAGGGAGGTCCTGAATTCGTGATCAAACAAAGAGCCACGTGGGACACGAATTTGCTGCAATGCCAGACGGTCAAGAAACTGGACGATCGCACGGAGATCTATCAATATGCCTTGGACGGCCAGCTCTCCACGGACTTTTGTGTGTTGCGGTATGTTAGGATTAGAATATTTAATTATTTAATAAATTTAATTTAATTAAATTATTAATTTCCTGTCTTAGTTCCTGGCAAACCGATTTGCCGCGCGGTGCCTGCGTTATAGTGGAGACCTCATAGATCATGCCAAGGCCAAGCCTGTTTTCGGGGCGGTAAGGGGCGTGGTCCTGGCCTCCAGGTATCTCATTGAGCCCTGTGGCAGCGGCAGATCCAGGGTTATGCATCTGGCCAGAGTGGATGTCAAGTAGATTTTATTTAAATATTTTTAATTAGTAAAATAATCAAATAATTGCCTATTTTTAGGGGCAAGACACCGGAATGGTACAACAAGAACTACGGACACATATGCTCGCATTACCTGTCCCGCATTCGATTGGCCTTCAAACACGTGCCGATGGACCCGAAAGCAAGGTCTAAACGATCAAAATATATACAAAAAAAGGATCTAACCATCTGTTTGATGGTTGTTCGCTGTATTCGTTGTCTGTCGCAAAACTGACGCATTTATACGTAAAAATATGATAGCTGGAGGATCGGAATAGCCCCGCACTTCGAACAACCCAACGATTACGCAAGAAAACCCAATAAAAACCCATGGACCACAAACACGAGCTTCAGTTTCATCCCGACCAAAAGCGATGAAGCGAGATCAGAGAGAATATATTCTTGTACATACACCTTGTAGGTTTCTTAATTTAGTTTTCGACTTAGATTTAACTACTTAGTTTACTGTATTATATTTATACGTGGTCTTAATTTATACGACAATAGCAATCTAACATCCAAAATACTCAACACACGTAAATATCACAAAGTATATCTTAACGATTTCTCTTGCTAAAGTTTACATCTACGTTTACGGCACTCCAAATCTTTAATGTTAATTAGTTTGTAGTCTTGGCAATATGTTAAAAAACGTATATTCGGAAAAGAGCAGAAAACAGCAAATGCAAAAGCAACCTTAAAATGTGTAAAGCAAATTCAACTAGTCAAATTTAATACGTTTAAGTTAAAGTACTAACCCCAAATACACTCATTGATTTGGCTTCAGATATCGATTGATTGATTGACACCGCATTACCTGAGTATGTGCCCGTTGATCCAATAAAAAGTATGATTGTTTCCATTGTGCGGTGTGAAATCGGAATTATTATCACTATCGTTAGTTTATGGATGGCCCTAAGATCCCCGATCAATATATATATACTATACTATATACTATAGTTTTATATGTGTCTATATAAATACGCTACCACATAAATCTATAATCGAGTGTTCGAAGGGAGCAGTAACTCAAATATTCGATGCATAAAGCAAATCGCAATAAAAGAGCATATTATGGAAATGCGACCAATATAAACCAAATATATTACGTCCATTGTTTTTGGGGAAGTTCTTGAAACTGTAAATTATATTAGCTAATGATATTAATTTATAGCAAAACAAAGGTTTATTTTCTTTCAAAAATAAATTCAAAGTTGGCGCGCTGGTGGCGCTAAAAAGTATGCTTTAAATAATTCAACTTTGTTCGAATTCGCCTGGCTTAGTTCGAAATTAAACCGCTACGCGAATTCGCCTTTCTCCGACAAAAAAATACTCCGAAACTCGAAGGAAAAGAGCAGCGCCACCTAAACGTCCACCATTAGAAAGCGCCACCTATTTGGATGGCGAAACAACCAACCGGTTAAGCGAATTCAAACGATACATTATTTATCGGCGCCAAAAAGAAAACGATTTAAATTAATTCAATTATATGGAAAAAATGGGGTTACATAAATATTTTGACTTGTCTATGGCTTTGAAAATATTACAACCACGAATTCTGCTATTTATTTGTAAAAAGTGTAGAAAAATTACTGAAGACAACATTTTTCAAACCTTGAGATCCATGGATTTTTAGTAATAAATGAAAATTATTAAAAACGGTTTTTTAATAATGTAATGCATTTGCGTTGCCTAAACACTAATTCAAATTGGAATACATTAATAAAACCAAAAACACTACACTAAAAATTTAATAGATTTTATGGAACCTGAGTCCGAGTTTCCCAAGCACTCATTTATGAAAACCCGTTTCACTCGTACCCATTAGCCGCGACTATCATAATACCAACTTATTGGCAGTTTAAAAACAACGGAGCCTTGTTGCTCTCTAATTGACTGCCGCCCAGGCGAGGCGTCGACTAATAAATTGACAGCCGGGCACACGAATGGCCGGGAAAGCCCACCTCTCTCGCTGGTTTACACATGTCGGGCACAAACTGTCGCTAATTGTGCCCCGGCAGCCCCAAAAACTGACCCCGAAAAAAGCTTTGCGAAAGCAAGGCGCTTACACACTCACACACTCGCGTCCGTTCTCCATTTCCCCCCGCGCACAAGCGACAGACATTAAAAGTCCATTAAAAAATTATGTTCGCCATGGCGTGCTCGACTCCTGTTGGGGCGTTTGATTGTGTGCGAAGAGGTCCCGACTTGGGCGAAGGCAATTTGTGCACTCGGAAAACTAATGTTTGAGATACTTGCAAATATAATTTATAGGAAACTTAACAGAGCAGAGGAATAACGATTTTCTGGAACCAAAAATCCTTTTTCAGGGATTATTTTGAGCAATTTTAGAGATCATTGTTATATTTACTTTAACTAAGAAATATTTAATAAATACAAATATTAATACAATAAAATCCCACATAAAATATATAACAATGATAATACACAACATTTATAATACAATTTTACCTTTTAAATAATTTTTGAACCAATTTAGAATTATATTTCTCCTTTAAATCATTTGTTTATTATCATATTACTTTATTTAAAAAAATAATAATAATTTCAATTTGTTAAGATTTTCAACTCTCCATATAGTATTTAGAATAATTTATCCTTTTCTAGGAATAATTTGATTCACTCAACATATTTCCACAGGGTGCAATCGTTACTTCCCTTCTAAGACATTAACTTTGTTGCCAAGCAACACACCCCCGCAATTACAAATATTGTTATTATTATAAAAACCCAAGCTCAATAGGGTCATCATCCATTCCCTCAGTGTAAAACTGGCGACCTTAATGGCCCAGTTGAGACTATATTTAGAGTGCAAGAAACTACTGCTGCTGCAGTCAGGCAAGGCATAATTGTAATTGCAAATTGCATATTGCGATGTTGCGATGTTGCCCACATGCAGTGACATCGATTGCAGCGACGGCAATGCAAATGTCCAACGTATTGATTGCATTAATTAATTAATTTGTGACTTAATTTCATGGGCTTGCGGCAATCAGCGCGCCATGCACGCACCGCTGCCAAAATGTATTAATATTGCACTGAGGACCGAAAGACCAAAAGACTGAAAAAGTCGACGCGCCGCGGCAACTGATGCGGCGCACGTGTGTGTGTTTGCCTTGTTATTAATTGAAATTTAATGGCACAAAATATTTTTATTTATTTATTCGACTGCAATTGCATTTATGCGCACTTCCGTCGCCCCCACACACGCATTTTGCAGCAGCAACATCCACCAGAAACAACAGCAACATTCGATGGCACCGCCGTCGGCGGCTGGCATTTAACATCAAAAGCCCTGCCCAGACCAGACCTGCCACGCCCCCTGCCCCCACGCCCCCTGGTTATATGGCCAACGAGCTTGTAATTGATTTCACTTAAAAATTAAATAATGCATGCGGTTTTTACTGTAAAATGGATTTTCCAAATGCTGCCGTTTCTTTTCGCATTTGCCACTCCTTCTCTATCGCTCCCTGGCCGCTGCCCGTGTTAAATTAAATATGAAAATAAATATCAACATAATTGAAATGGCAACGAAGGCGGCAGGAGCAGCGGAAAAACAGCGGAGGAAAAAGTAAAATCAGCAAAGGCAGCCAAAGCGACCGACACTGTGCAGCTGGGCGACGTAATTGATGAAATTATTTAAGAATTATTTCACAAATGCGGCGTGACAATTATGCGGGACTATAGCCCAGATCATGAACTGGGTGCAGAGAGAAAAATTAGGGAAGCGAAGAAAACCAATTACAAAGCAATAATCAAGACATTATAAATATTTACCTAAAAAAAAATTATCTATACATTTTTAAACAAAGTATTGATATTCTTAAATGTAGAATTACTAAGGAATACTTTTTGTGAGACATAAAAAAAACAGTCGGTGCTTTAGCTGATTTGGCTAAGCTACGATTAAAAACAGCTAAATAGGAGGATTTTGACTAAAATATTGCTCTAAAAGTCAGGTTTTGGCTGTCATAATGCAAATAAAAGTCGGAATGAGGATGTCATACCTCGTTGAGCTCGTAATTTAATTTCCAATAGTTTGGCATTAAAACCTGACAATTTTTAATTTTTCCATTTTTGGCAAAAATAAAAAATTATAAAAAATGCGAAAATTGGTCAAAAAATAAATTTCCTTTAAAGTGATTGGATCATTAGCGTATGTTAAAAGCTGCTCAAACAGTAGGTCTTTTAGCTGTACGCCTTGTTTTGGCTAATTACGATTGAAAAACCGCGAAAAATAGGAGCATTGTTGACCAAATTCAACCCATTTTTCCGCCCTAAAAGACAGTATTTTGACTGGCCTAATGTAATAAAGGTCAGAATGATGAGTGTCATACCTTGTTGAGTCGTAATTTAATTTCCAATCTCTTGACATTCAAACCCAGAATTTTTTTTTTTTGCCATTTTACGCCAATTAACCCCTGGTAAAAAAGCAAAAATTGGTCAAAAAAAAATTTTCCTTAAACTGGTCGGGATCGTAGCAGTGGTTTCAAGCTGTTCAAAACAATCGGTCTTTTAGCATACGCCTTGATTTGGATAAACTACGATTAAAAACCCCCTAATTCGACCATTTTCAACAAAAAGGTAAATCCATTTTTGCCCTACAAAAAATGCGAAAATTGCTCAAAAATATATTTCCTAAGTAAAAACAGATATAAATTTGAACAATTATTAGGTATGAAACAACTTTATGGGTATTAGATACTAGATACACTTCCTTTGATACACTTTATTGTACCTCAGAATTATCAAACACCAAAAGCTCCCCAATTTCTGTCCGTGCATCGTGCGTATTAAAATGGGCAAATAATAAAGCAGAAATTGTATTTAAACGCAGCCTGTAATTAATTATCTGCATTGGCCGCCTCTCCGCGACGGAGGAGTTCTGTGTTGATCGCATGCCAAACAGTGCCCACAATAAATTAATGAACCGAAAAACAATTATCATAAATAGCAGCGGCAACTGCGTACTCGCTACACTTTTGCCCTGAACTGATTCGCAATTCCACGTTGTTTCGAATTCTTTGTGAAATATTTAACATATTGCAATTACAATTTGCGATAAATAAATACAAAATGACATTCTCTCAATTGATTTTTAGCATAAAACCGAATTTGCACTCGATATATACATAATTGCTGGCAATTTCCCTTTAATTTTGCATTTAAAAATAATACGCTGACACTCGAAACAGAGCGAAACAGAAATTCCCGAGAACTCCAACGCCCCAATGCCAACTAAAGCAAAATGCTTTTATGGTTTTCTGCTTTCGACCAGCAATATCTCTTGCCTTAATTAATTAAAAATTATATTTGCATTCATTTTCGCCTTTATTCTTGACATGCAATCGCCGGGCCAATAAAAAATACAAATTCCTGCACACTTCCACGAACATTGCTTGCGACAGAGGGCAGCAAAAAAAAAGTATCTGGAGAAAAGGCAACAGTGGCGGCGGCAATTAAAACGCGAAATCGCCAGGCACTTGGTCTACTTGGCATTTGGATTCCCAGACCTGCTCGGCAAATGTTTGTTGCGCTGGCTAATTCGCCCTAAAAGTGTTTGAAGCCCGGGTCTCGAGTGTCCGCATATGGCGGCGATTGGGATGGCGATTCCATTCTGATGCCGATTCCTATGCCGATTCCATGCCGATTCCCTGAGAACTGGGAACTCAGAACTCAGAACTGGGCACTTGCGAACTGCCGGCTAATCAGCGGCACGTCAAACGCCTACGCAAGAATGCGCCCGCGGAAAAAAGCGAAATGCGAATCGCGAGTTGCGAAACTGGATATGGCAGAGTGGAGGGCTGAAGATGGGGCAGGGATCGGAGGATGCGGCTAAAGACGATGACAGGGCAGGCAATCCAAATCCAGGCCACCAGTGGAGCAATCGACAATTGTCTTGGGCAACTGCGAGGCTCCAAGGGGCTAAAAGTTGGCGTTGCGACAAATTTCCATACCCTGTAGTCATAGAACTCCAGGGGCATATCAGTTTGTAAAGTAAATATTTTAACATACCATTTACCTCAATAATAGCACATTATATACATTAAAAACCAATATTAATACAATTAATTGATAGC